ACGCGAGTTCGTATCGAGCGTATCTCTTCCTTTTTCCTTGCTTCTCGTCCTCTTTCACTCGTTTCCTTTCCGCGCGCATTCCTCGAGATCATTCCTTAAGACCGCGCGATACCGTTAGCTAAAATCGCCGTTCAACCAGCCGAATTGTTGACGGTGATCTTTTAAATTCGAAAGGAATCCGATTCAGATGTCCCATTCGGATGATTCGTAGAGGCCAAAGAGGGAAGAAACATCCTTGTGACTTAATTCGAGAATAGAAATACGGTAGAGTTATTCCGAGTAGCCCCTTGACCTATGATTACTTTTCTGACAATGCGTCTAAGCGTCGGCGGAGTTGTGCTAATTGAATTAAACCGTAATTTATTACGTTGTACTTGAATTACGTAGTATTTCAATTACGTCGTAATTGAATTTACGTAATTTCGATTGCTAATTACTTTGTCATCGTTGTAACTGAAGTACAGTGTAATTGAAATACAATTTAATTGTGATCCAATATAACCTCAAATTACAGCTGAGAAACTCTGAAGAAGTGAGATAAATGTTAATTTTTATCTTTCCTGTCTATACGGCATATTTTCCACTTACAGTTACGGATAATTTAATTAAATAAGAAATCTAAATTCCTTCTACCTTCTCAAAAAAAACTCAAGTCGTTTGGTCCAATTTTAAAAAGGTTATACCGTTCCAAGGACTGTCCGAGTATTAGTGAGTCCTCACTATACATCCCGATAGAAAATGCAGCACGAAAGTGGTGACATTTTTGCGCAAGTTCAATCTACCGATATTAATGGTACAGTACATTGCGTACTAAAGTTTCAAACACGATATCAGTGGAATGTTCACGCGAAATGAGAATGCAACGTATAAGTGCTTTCATACAGAAGACTGTGCAATTTACGATTGAGAGAACACGATGTGGGTGGAAAACAGCCCAGTGCAGATACATAAGTGGAAGTTTTATTTAATTTTAACACAAAGGGACCTGTGTTAAACCTGTAACAACTTCGCTGCCGGCACGAGAGAAATTTTCGAAGAATTGCAGTAATTATGTAAATTTGCTGTATGCACATATCATAACGGAACTTATGAATGTTAAAATGTAACTGAATTTAGAATTCAACCACGCTGGTTTACATTTTCGAGATGCAAGTATTTTCGGAGTTTGTTGTAAGCAGTTACATTTTCCGCAGATATATGAAATACAGGGGATTACCTAATGGCTAGCATGAGAGACACGATGCTGCATATTACACGAGGAGATTACATCACCCTCGTCGTTGACAGTTTTCTAGCTGTTTTGGATATTCATGGAATATTAATAATATCGGATGGAACAATAAATTTGGTAATTCTGATTTGTAATTATAATTAACAATTCGAATAGCTATTTACGATATGCTTATAAGTAATTAACTTTGCACTGATCTGTCGCTGTACGCGGGCCAAACAGGGATTTGCAGTTTATTGAATCGATTAATCGTTGGATACAAAATGAATTGGAGAATTGTTGAACGTGTTTGCGATGAATTAAGGCGATAGGAAACTTGCATTTTTATCTATGAAATGCTCGAGAAATGCGTACTGTAATTCTGCAGTTTAATTTTGTTATCTGATGGAAACTTCAAAGAACTTTCTCATACGTAAGTATCGCGATACTAATAGTAACACAATTTTTATAAATGTTACGACTATAAAATTGAAGAATTACAAGAAGCATTCGCGTTTTATCTTTTTCCTTGCTATTAATTAATGGAAATGTCTCTCGTTGGGTAAGCGTAACTTTTCTTCCACAATACGAACGTGGTCGTTTCGTTGAAAGAAAAGTAAGGTTAGGTTATGTTTTTACTCAAATGTCCATCGTGACAGAGAAAATTGAGGATATCTTCTGAATATCTTCTGAGGAACATTTTCAACTATTGCTGTTTATCATATTAAAAGCTCTAGGCTTAAGTATGGTCATTTTTTTTACTCATTTAAAACGTATGTACAGGATGAACAGCCTAACTTAATCGCCTTAATTATTTCTGTTACTACTGGACCAATATAAATTCAATTTTTTTAAATAACTTGCTTCAGAGAGACGTACAGGCTAATTGCAGCATATGTTTTGTAGGTTAGGTTAGGTTTTTTCCAAAGCTACGAAGATCATCTTTAGTTTTTCAACTGCAATCTCATAATTTTTTTCGCCTATCTTTTCACAGACAAAAAGACGAATACAAGTACTGGAACATACTGTTTTTGTCATTAGAACAGAACAAATGATAGAAAAGTGTATTTTAGAAAAATCCTGCACTGTCATACACAAACACAACGTTATTGTGGAATTAAATTGGCCTGACTTTTCGCATAATGTTCATAAACATCGAAATGTTTCATATTCCACTACTGACAACTCTGGAAGACCTAAGTCAGATCTTTCGAAAAGACAGTTATAATCATGGATCGTTATAGTACCGCGGAAAAAATTGAAATGCTCTTAAATTACGGGGAGGGCAAACGTAATGCTGCGGTGACACAACAGTTACACACTGACTGATTTCTGAATAAAAATCATCCGTCACGTCACATGTTTCAACGTGTACACAAAACACTTCGGGAAACGGGACGTTTAAATCGACAAAAACAAAGTCGTTCAAAACTCAGAACTGTTGGTTCCACTGAATCTGCTGTTCTAGCTACAGAGGTCAATGATCCTCACAGGAGTTTCTAAGAAATTGCAAAGAATAGTGATACATATAAATCTGTACAGTGTTTTGAATATTTCACATCCACCATTTCTCCTGTTCTAATGACAAAAATAGTACGTCACAGTGCTTTTTGTGCGCTAAAAGATAGGCGAAAAAAAATTACAGGATTCCATTTGAAAAACTAAAGGTGACATTGATAACTTTTCTTGGATTATTAGGAGAAATGAATATGTGTCTGTGTAATAGTAACAGCAAAAATGATCAACATACTGAGACGGGTTGATATAAACATATATAGAAGAACGACATAGTAACCGTCTGTTTAGTTTCGGTGGATGCTGATATTTTTTTTCTTTTTTAGTGACGTGACTTCCTCGCGTATAAAATAAAGAATAGTTTTATACTTGAAATACCATGTTTTAATTTATTGCCTAAATCCAGTAACTTTGAAAAAAAATGATCTACAAAATATGTACTGCAACCAGTCTATAGGACCCTCATACTACCCTGAACGGTTAATAATGCGTCCCAGAAGATCGTAAACTTTTAACACTATTATGCGATTTTTAGCGATATTTTTTATAACTCGATTGCGCTACAATAAAAACTATGAAAAATAAAGGAAATTTGGTTACTTATATACATTAACTATATAGTATATATTTTGTATGTGTCCTAAGCGAGTTCCTCTTCACTTAATGTGGCCCAGGCAAGCAAAAAGATTGGACACCCATACTCTAGACCAGGGGTCGGCAAACTTTTTTCCTGGAGGGCCAGATACTAAATATTTTTGGCTTTGTGGGCTAAGAGAGAAAATTGAGATTATTACGTATATACGTATGTTAAGGATACTTAAGTTTAGACCAGGTTTACGATACGGACGCAACTCTGCTATTTTTGAGACTAAGGTTTGAATACGCGTTTAATGTTTCGTTGGCTAGTTATTCCTTATTGCCAGGAGGGCTCCAAACCTCTCCTAAAAGCTGAGAATTTGGAGTTTCTTTGTGAATCTCAATAGCAATTGACTTATCTTAAACCCGCGCGAGCTGAGGCACATGCGAGCGAGCGAGCGGGACCGTTACCCTGGGTTTTTCCCATAAACTCAGGAGACGCGTACCTCACCCAGAACACCCCTTCCCTAAGGGTGAGCGGTTGGCGTCGGGCGTCGACCAAGGCCCTAACTTGATCGGGAGTCTTGGCCTCCCACCCAAATCTCACCCCCGTCAAGGGACCCAAATGGACGGACAAGAACATATAAAAGGACAAACCAGGAGTGTGACATTGTTGTAAGAACAAATTGGTGAAATAGAACTCTGAACTCTTGTACGAACGATTACACGAACTTTGAACCTCAGGACATTGGACTCGCACATATTTAACATTTAAGAACTTAGTAAATAAAGAATTATTTGCTAAATAATCAGGCTTCACAAACATTGTGGGAGCCAACTTAAAATTTTTTGACAAATCCTTTATTTGTAATATTATTTGTAATACACATTTATTAATGAGAAATACGGAATTCTTTCTTTCTGGATAATATTTCATTTAACTGCAGTTGAAGCTTTGTATTTCCTATCATCAAAGTTGATTGTAAATGTTCATTTGTCAACGCTGACCTATAGCGAATCTGATTCTTGGATCATAGACATAACTCGCGGGCCATAAGAAAACTGATGGCAGGCCGCAGTTTGCCGACCCCTGCTCTAGACCAAAGTATTGAAAAACCAAAGAATTTGGTCCAATTTGGAATTGGTCCAATGGCAACAGAAATAATTAACCCTTTCACTGCGGCAGATTTTGATACGTAACGCGCGTGGCGAACGGTGAATGTTCAACCACGACCGCAAAATCTTTCGTTTCGACGTTTCAAAAATTTTTGAAAATTTTAAAAATTTAGCATTTTGAAAATTAAGGTGGAAATGCACAAAGGACAAAAATTAAGGATTAAATTCACTTCGAAAGCACGGTGCGAGCAAGTAGGCGCTAATAACAGTGAAAGGGTTAAAATTCTCAAATTTTATATTTCCGCGCTATTTAAAATTACGTTGCCGGTAAAACGAACCTCGATCGCAGAAAATTGAAAAAGGAAGAAACTTAATTACAGAAGAATGCTAATAAGTAACCGTGAATTACTATTGATACTCGTGATATGTTACAAAGGGCGGGCGCAAATCTCCGGAAATTTAAACTGCACGCGCACGCACCGATCGTTTATTTTCCCGGCGGCAAATTTCCGCGGTGAAATTTATGAAACGTTCACACATTGAATGAATCGGGAGTAACAGAGTACAGTACGTATATACTTACATATGCAGCACACGCCGAACCCGAGCGCGCACCGTCCATGGGACTTCCCCCGTTGAATGCGGCACTCATACGTGTTCATGCATACGCCCTGTCGTCGTTTGTCCCGGGATAGGCACTCCTCTTGCACCGGGGTGGGAAAGAAGTTCAGAACTGCAAGTGGTGTTTCAAAGGAGAACTCGAAGAAAATAGCGAAACGAGACACAGGTCGCGGCTGTCAACGTTGAAACTCTCCGCGTTTCCCGTTCCCGCGTTTCTTTCACCAAACCGCAAAAGTCACGGCAGAATAAGAAAAAAAAAAAGAAAGGGGGAAAAGAACAGGCAGCTTTTAAGAGACCTTCCGGTTGTCTGAAAAGTTAGTCCTCTTCGTCGTTTGAGCTAATCGGTTCCAACAAACCAGAACTCTCGTGTTTAGCATTTGGACCGTTTCGACCAGGGGGAAAATTGTATTTAGCGGTTTTTCAATTGAAGAGCGTTAAAGTGCGTGGACTCGCGTTCGTAAGTATTGGGACTTGAGATTTGAAGTATATTGAAATCTACTGAATTCTACTAAAATCTACTGAATTCCACTGAATTTCACTAAAATCTATTGAAATCTACTGAAATCCACTGTATTCTACTGAATTTTACTAAAATCTACTGAAATGTACTAATTTTTACTACAATTTAATAAAATCTACTTAATTTTACAGATATCTACTGAAATCTACTTACTGAATGTGAAGCATACTGAAATGTACTGAAGTCTGCTGTAATCCACTGAACTCTGCAGAAATCTATCAAAATTTTCTGAAATCTGCTGAATTTTATTATAGTCAACTGTACTCTGCTATCTATTGAAATCTTTTGGAACCTAAGGAAATCTACTAAGATCCATTGAATTCTACTAAATTTTATTAAAATCTACTGAAATGTACTAATTTTCACTACAATTTACTAAAATCTACTTAATTTTATAGATGTCTACTGAATCTGCTAAAACCTACTTGCTGAATGTGAAGCATACTGAAATTTACTGAAATGTATTGTAATCCACTGAACTCTGCTGAAATCTATCAAAATTTACTGATTAGTAAAATTTTCTGAAATCTGCTGAATTTTATTATAGTCAACTGTACTCTGCTATCTATTGAAATCGTTTTGAACCTAAGGAAATCTACTAAGATCCACTGAATTCTACTAAATTTTACTAAAATCTACTGAAATCTTTTGTAATCTACTAAATTCTGTCGAAACCTACTAAAATCTACCAAAACCTACGAAAATCGACTAAAATCTACTGAAATCTGCTGTGCTCTGGAATAATTTTAATGTAAGTGATTTAGTATGCTTTATATGCAAACGACTATCATGCAAGTCTTACGAAACCTGTTCATGTATATTCATATGAGTATAATATACGTGTATAAGAAGGATATGAACCTAATATTCTGAGAAAAGCGGCGGACGACCGGCCGGGTCAAAATTGACCCACTAGCAACTTTTCAGAAAAAGTGAATGTTCGATACTGGTAAGTATTATCATTTGTATCTTTTCTACTTTGTTTTCTGCATGCTACTTCTACTTGTATCGATGCGGATCCAATTTTTCAATCACGTTTTAGTTACATAAAAATTCACTTTTGGAGAATAACGTAAATATATGCACGTTATTTTGTTAACTTAAAATCAACAGCACTCCGTTTTTGTTTCGCAATTTGACAATTATTGAATCAGAACATGAATTTCGAATTAAACGAGTGTCAATTTTAACACAGCTTTTCAAAGATTTTAGTCTCAATGTTCTATCCACAGAACAATCGAATCTCTTTCAGAAAATGCAATTTTACTCAAGGAACAAACATAAACCATGCGTCAAATGAAAAGATTATTTACTAAAAATACGATTTGATAATTATTGAATTAGAACAAATTTTCAATTGAACAAGTGCCAATTTCAGCACAGCTTTCGAAAGAAATTATTCTCAGTGTTCTATCCATAGAAAAATCAAATCTCTTCACAGAAGTACAATTTTACTCAAGAAAGAAACATGAACGATGCAAGAATATTCGGATGAGAAGAATATTCATTAAAAATGCAATTTGATAATTATTGAATTAAAACAAATTTGAATGAAACAAGTGTCAATTTCAATACAGCTTTGCAAGGAAATTATTCTCAATGTTTTCTCCATAGAAAAATCAAGTCTCTAAAAAAAAAAAAATACAATTTTACTCAAAAAACAAATATAAACCATGCGTCAGATGAAAAAGAATATTGATTAAAAATGCAATTTGATAATTATTGAATTAAAACAAATTTGAATGAAACAAGTGTCAATTTTAACACAACTTTCCAAAAAAATTATTCTCAACGTTCCATCCACGGAAAAATCAAATCTTTAAAAAAAAAAAAAAAATACAATTTACTCAAAAAACAAACACAAACGACGCGTCAGACGAAAAAGGATATTAATTTTCTCTCAGAAAATCGAAGCATTCTCCGTGCTTAATTCCACAAACAATCCACCCCCACCCCCCCGTTTCAATACCGTAAAATCCAATCGTATTGAAAGAAAGCACGTCGATAATACCCCAGCACACAAGAACGCAATCCCGCTCGAGACAAACACCTCTGTGTCCGTGTCAAATTAGAAGAAACACAAATCCCATAGCAAACACGATCCCGCCTTTGCGTAGCCTCTGAAAATGCCTGGGAAAAATGGCGTCTACAAAAGAAACACGAAACGGCACCCCGGGAACTTACCCCTCGAAATTGGATTTCCGCTCAAATCGAATCCGTTCGAAGGCTCCTCGATGGTCTGGCTTGGCCACAGATTCAAGCCGAGCAACGACCATTGCTGGGTGGCGGACGGGAAGACGATCAAAGTGCAAACACTGCTCGACATCCACGACAAAACACTCCACCGCGTTTCCGATGCAAACACAACGCTTGAAAGCGCAACCAGTTGCATCAGGTTGATCGAGACGCGCTTGAGGATCATGTTCGAACACCCGTGGAAACGTGGATTCGCGCGCGCCTCACGCGAGACACCTTTTTAAAAAGGATTCCACCAGCGAAAGGGACGATCACCGACTGACTGACCGTGTAACAACCGCCGGAGACCAGCAACACACGTGTTGAGCTCGTTCTGCCACGGCAGACATTTCCGCTACTGGCCGCGAACGTCTCCTTGCCACGCTCGTACACTCCCGTCCATAAATCATGGGACACCATTTTACCCGTTTTACGATAAATCAAGTTTAGATGAAAAATTTAGTTGGAGGAGAAGATCTAAATACGAGCCAGTATTGAATATGTTAAGTGTTTGACTCTATTGAAAATAGCATGAAACTACGAGTTATGAACAACATAAGTATTGTAGAGGAGATAGTGAGGTGCATTTATTTTGTTTACGTGTTGTGTTGCAAAACGTGTCGTTTCTCTTATTTATAAATAAAAAGAATTTCATAAATATAATTTGATGGAGTTAGTCACTTTCGCTTTTGAGTGGCTCATTTATGAATGGGACAGTGTAATAAAACAGGATAGTATTAATATTATTTCTACCATTACCATTTCTTCGGGTACTAAAATCATAATGTATTATCGATTTGTTTCTTCATCAACGTAAATATACTGCAATATAAGTACCTGTTTACCGTACAAGGGTTAAGTAGCGGCATAGATTGATGCACTGACGCCCAAGATCGCATAGACCGTTTTACGTTTTTCAATTGGAACTGAATCAAATTTAAGACACACTTCATACGGCCCTGACTGAGATTTCGAGCCCTCATTTTCTCAGGTTTCTGTCAATTCGCTTGTCCATACGCTAGAACCTGTAAATTTTGACGCCTGAGCGAACTTACACCCTCCCTACATTTCTTCCACCGATTATACAGGGTGTTTCTTTTAACTCGCAATGTTGGAATACCTCGCGAGAGACTGAATCTGTCAAAAAATAGTTTTTAGGTTACACGCTGTTTATCTTCCCATATTTCTCAAGTTTTCAAATGTTATAAACGTCACTTTGAATCGTGAAAACTTTTCTTTAATTGGTAAGTAGGAATAAACTTCGTTTATTTATGTCGGTAATAGCTGTCAACCACAGATTCAAGTTCACATGATAACATAATTTATAAAATTTTACAACAATAAATAACCTCATATGGCAGGTCGTTGAATTCGTCTCAACAAATGGTACTATGAAAAAGAAATATATGCTTCCATTCAAAAAAATGTATTTGACTGAAATTTGCCCGCCACCACTTGACCTACAAAAAAATAATTTGCACCACATGATGTCCCTCTTCGTACCAAACAACTTTTTTAAAAATATTCTTTTGATAGGTTCAGTTCCTCGTAAGAAATTCTAACATTACGAATTAAAGGAAACACCCTGTATAATCATACATAAATATTTGTAAATGTGAATGTAAAAATTCGTCAACGCACGAGCGGAACCAGCTTTTGCGAGCATTCGTTTAAATATTTAGACGAAAAGGACGAATTTTTCTGTATTTAAATTACGAATTAGCGGATTATAATTTGTGAGTACATATTATGTTAGAAAAGTTCCAAGATACATTGTTTCTTCGATTATCGCAGTATGGTATATACACAGATAATTCCTACCGACTGGTAAAACAGTTAATAAACACTACTGCTTGAGTATCACGAGGTGTTTACGTAATTCGATCCACAAAATGCGGCTGGATTCATGTAAAACAACTCACGGATTTTACACCACTATACACACCGGCTCACATTTCGATGCTTGTTCGCGACTTTTTGGCAAAAACACGACTAACACCGTATTCGCCTGACCGTGCGACTTTTTCCTATTTCCCAGACTAAAACTTCCACTACGGGGACGCTCTGTGTTGTTTTGCAACAATTGAGACGATAAAATAAAATTCGCTAAATGAGCTAAAAACCATCCTAGAAATCAAGTTTCAGCGAAGCAATGAAAAGTGGAAAAACCGTTGACATAAGTGTATTTCAAGCCGTGGAGGTTATTTAGAAAGCGACTAAATATATGTATATTGCTGAATAAATGAATAATTTGTATTTTATTTGATTTTTCCTGAAACTCTATGATCAGAGTAGTATATTAATCGTAATAACTAATCTAGCAGTATAGTGATTAATAGTGATGAATTCTATTACGACCCTCGGGTATTTTTGAATCGAATCATTTAAAAGAATTTATTCTTCTTTTAACAGAAATTAATTTTTATCAATTGAAAGGAGAAAATGTGTATTTGAATTGAGAATGACATCAGAAATATAATAAACATACCTAAGTATTTAGTCGAAAAAGTTGATGTGCGTTGTTATATGATGTGAATGATGTGATTGATGTAAATGTTGATTAGAAGTGTTGTTTCACTTTGCTAATCAAATCTATTACCACTCGTTCGTATCGTCTACAAGAATTTAACTAATTTAATTTTTATATCAGATGAATAATAACAGAATAACTGATAATAAATAATAATAACTATAAAAGCAACAAAAAAGTAATTAATTAACTTATTTAGAAATTCATGTATATACACAACAAATGTGAAAAATTAAACAATTGTTTGTAAGTTATTAATATAATTATTTGTTAATCACAACATGAATCTTTTAATAAAATAGTTTATGGTTATTTCTGTAAAAAATTAACGTGAAAACATTATATTAATTGAGTTTTTCGTTTATATTCTAAGCTTCCGTTTCGATTTAGTCATAGTGTCAACCATTTTTCAAAATTTAATTTGTATTTAATTGATTCAATATTAATCGGAAATTTACCATTATCCTTTCGTATTTAATTTGAGTTTAGTTTGAATGCTTAAATCCCTTCAGTTTATTTTAACACCAGTCGTGAAGCACCACGTTTGCAAACTTCCTCAATTTTAATCAGAAAACATACATCTCATCTCACGCTATTCAGGTTTAAATTACAAAACTTAGTTTCCTTCTATCAACTTTGCATTCTTTCAATCTGTTTTATCGTTCCTTTTCAATTTACCTTTCATTCTATCCATTAAGCAAGATATTTTACTTATTTAGAATGCTCCAAAGTTCTAAAGTTTTTCAATACTTCGTAATTTTTCTGAAGAATTTATTCGATGTTCTGAAAAAATTTCTGGTTTTTTCACTGCTTCGCAAACAACGTAAATCTCAGTACATACAGCTACAAAAATAAGTACGTACTATGTATGTCTAATAAATTCTCCATTAGCTTCAAATAACAACCATACAGATATCGTTTGTTTATTATACGTGAATTATTTTTTGAAAGGTTATTATTTGTTAGAAAAAGATTTTGACATGCAGAAAATTGATTGAAAAAAAAGGTTTAAATCTACTATGAAATTCTTATTTTATCTTGATATTAAAGTCTCTAATATTATTATTAAGGATATTGGTATTTGAACAACAATTATTTATAAGTGACATAAATTATTCTTCTTTATGACATTAATCAATTTCAATATTACCTAATTCAAATTTAAATTAGTGACATAAATAAAGTTAGGAAGTAGGAATAATTTGTTAATTAATTTTGAAGGATACAAAGAAATTCATAATTATTCTATATGGAATGAAGGCTTTCAGGCGATACATAATTCATCAAAGAAATTACCTATCGAAAAGTGAACAATATTCGTTTTTATCCTATAAAGAACACAAACTGTGAAAGAGCAAAGCAGTGCACTCTTAATTCTTGGAATACCTACTATTGAATTATCAAAATTTTCGTGCTTCTTATGTGGATAATAACAAATACATTCAAAAATAATTTCCAACAATTGTATATGGTATCCAGAATACTAATAATCCTTTAATGGTGAACACAGTAGATAATTTTACAGTTACTTGTAAAAAGTCTTTAATGTATTAAAAAGTGTTTAAGTAATTTTTACATTAGGAACAATTCTGACTTTAAAATTGAAAATTAACAAAGTGCAAAGGTTTCAAATTTAAGAAAATTTTGACAGTTTCTTAACATTCCTTTACAAAACACACATATTAAACAGCTACTATACCATTAGTAAAATACAATATTTTTATAGTATTCATATACTTTTACACGTTAACATGAAAATTCATATTACTTTATCCTGACACATTTGCAGTGCTGCTTTTTTTTTCATTACATGATTTGCACAAGTGCTACAAATGTAGAATTTATGTCAGGTGCCAAAGTCATAAACCACTGATGTTACATACAAGGATATCATATCCCATCTATCAGAAATTTTGTGTATTTGTAGATATATACATCACTTATTAGAATGTTACAGTATATTTTCAAATGTGATTCAACTAGTTTTTATTTCTGTAATTATTCCATTGTAAAATATAATATTGTTGTTTGAACATAGTTTCTTCATTCTTTTTTGAGCTATCAAAAATATATAAAAACACATAATTACAAATAAATTTTTTATAATATTTAGTCCACACATAATTATTTTTTTCCATATACACTTCTTTTCTGATAAAGGTAAATGCACTTCAAGATATATACAGCTTTAATAGAATTTATGTGTGTTGTGCAATAATAATATACTAATTAATCAATCAATTCTTATAAAAGTAAGAATATATTTCATATATTATTAATTAAGCGTTATAAAAAGATATTGAAAATAATATAACGTTTAAACTTCATTGTACCTTTATCATAGTACACTCTACCTTTTATTTTGACCAAAGAAATGAAACTTTTATTCTAATGATAAAAGAAAGAAGATGAAAAAGTAACAAAATAAAGTTTTTGATGTTTCCTTATATTTGTACCATTTATTTAAAAAGTATATTGAACGACAGTTGCAATATAATCTAACCACAGATGAGGTACAGAATAAACCTATTACCATTACCCAATGAATTTTTTTCTCACGTCATGGACGCTCGTGTGTCAACTTGTCAATTTTCATGTCACTTTCAACGTTACCGATTCGATATAGAATAAGATTACAACATTACTAGTGATTGGAA